TCTATATAATTATAAATAAACGAACATGGCTGATCAGATTTTTGCTTGCTTCAATGATTTGGATATCTCTGGCCAACTAAGTTTAAGTCGGAATCTAAAATACCATCAACGGTTAAATGCCCAGCTCAGCTGCAAGACGGTCCACTGCAGATCAGGCCCCAAGTTGCCCATCATCTGTTGTCCGAAATGTCCTAAACAACTTCAATATGCAATTTTCTTCGACTGACAACTTTTTGTAGCCTCTTAGTCAGGCCGCAAACTTTTCTAATAACCTAAGATACTCGCAAACAGACAGGCAGGGCAGCTCTTCGAAGTTCGGGAAGGGGCTGCCGGAATAATGTGTGCCCCCTGAAAAATTGTGGGGCAAAAACTGAAAGCCGAACATGCCGTCGATGCAGAGCCGTATCAAATTGACGCGTTATTTCGAAAACTTTCGAGGAGAGGCATTAAATTTGCAAAAGTAAATTTGCAGAGGGAGTGCATACGTGATATATTATTTCGCATTACGCGCAAATTGAAAAGCTCAATGAAATAAAAACCAAGAAAGCAGCCATTCCACGCGGAAATAGGAACGAGAAATATTCCACTAACGCGGCGAAAGTGTGAAGGGAAGTAGGGGCTACGCAAGTTTAACTGCTGCTCCCCTTTTGTGCCCTACAGTTACGACTATCTGTAAACTGAGATGTATCTATGGACGGACGGAATATATGGCTTATTGTGTTAGTTTACTGGCGCAGTCGGAATTTATGAATCAATTTTTTAGTGTTGCCGCATAAAAATTCAAATAAATAAAATTGTGCGCAAGTTGTGTTTGTGCTGTTTTGTGTTGTTTTTCTCTTCCAGATTGCCGATGTGCAGTGAAATGGCAGGCAGTGAAATAAATGGCGAACTGATTGATTGAGCACTTGATTGATGGCGCGGCGCTTTCCACGCCTAATGAGTAAACCATTTTAAGCCCTGAAAAGTATGCAATGAATTCTGCAGTTGGTTAATCATTGAGCGCTAGTCAAAATTTCGTGGTTTAAATATTGCATTATGATTCACACAGTCAGTCTGCGTGCAATCAAGGCAATTTATTTAGATTTGAAAATGGAAATTCCACTTTTTCATGATATATTAAATGTTCCAAGTGACAAGACTATGTTACCCACTCGCTTAAAAGAGCAATCACACTAATTTCTTAAGTGATTTATAGATCTGTAGACTATTGCTCGTTGCGTCTCCTATTATTCATATTTTTGTTGTATACTTGTAAGTATACAGTAATTTATAATACATTCTCCTTTTTTGTGCCACTCACAGCTTGCAAAGACAATTAAAAGACCCTTTGCTGCACAAAATGAACTACTACCACACTCAACGTGTAGAATGCAATCCACGAGTCGCCTAACTTGCCATCCCAGCGCGTACAACTTTTAGTGGCGCCCCGCAGCTTTGCCTCTAATATGTCCAAAAGTTGCAACCAATTTCGAACAGCAGTTAGGTGGTGCACACTCGCATCACCGGCTGATGCCTAATGGCCGTGATAATGCCATGACAACTGTGCGAGCATCGGAGTACTCCCGAAAGTTGTGCCACCTCCCGTGGCAGTCTGTCGAGTTGCAAGCCACGGAACTATGCCAAATTACTCAACAGCGTTGCGACGTTGCAACACCTTGCCAGCCCTGAGCACCGCGCAGAATGTTGGCAAACTGCGTGGCAACAAAAAGGAGGTCCTATCCCAATTAGTTCGGACTCCTGTCCAGCAATTGGGCAACGTGGAATGTCCTCTTTGGCGGCAGGATGTGGCAGGAGTCCCAGAAGCTGGTAAGTGGCAATGAAACTATTGCGAAATAAAATATAATACTGGCTTGAAACAAGTTGTTAGTTACAAGCTCGAGGCATAACACCTTTGATTACTTTTCCAGTTTACAATGTTATTCATGCGCTTGCAGACGACATCTTAATTTCAGTTCGAAATTTTCAACTGATAGCTACTGACTTCCGACTATTGAATGGAATATTTCTGTCCGAAAGCACAGACAGATGACAGTTTCTGTTTCGGCCAAATACACAAAAGTACACATTCACTTTTTCGTCAAATTAATCCCATCCGAAAAATACCCCTTCGAAGCAGAAAAAAAAGATTGATGGACAGGCGAGCAAAGAGAGTTACAAGGACGAGAAAGTGGCGGACAGGACAGCATACAGCAAGCTGGCGATTCGGTTAAAATCCTCCAAAGACAAAGAGTTCGAAAAGATGTGAGTCCAATACAGTCCTTTAACCTCTGTTTGCATGCAACTCTTGCAGGATACGTCCGCGCTGGTGGAGTGGCGGAGTGGCAGGCGCCATTGCGCAGTGTTTTACGGCACCTTTCGACCTCATCGAGGCGCGGATGGTGGTGATCAGGAAGGACAGAGGCATGGCTTCAAATCTCCAGCGGGCTATTCGAACGAATGGTAATTATGGGACAAACTAAGACAAAGATATAACGATAAAGATAGAATTGGGCTTCTTTAAAAAACAGTTTGCATACATAATTTTGCTGAAAAAAGATGAATTCGGATCGTTTTAAAGGGTACACTTTATACTTTATAAAACTCCCCTTGTGGAACACTTGTATGTGGATGCAGAGCTCTGTTTTGACCGGAAATCCCTTCCTAGGTTTCATCTCGCTTTACGACGGCTTGAGTGCCCAGTTGGTGAGACAGCTGACGTACACATCGCTGCGGTTTCACCTCTATGAAATGGGAAAGGAGCACTTGGACCATCCTGACGGCTTGTTGGATAAAGTGCTGGTGGCCGGACTGGCTGGCTGTGTCGCGGGTGTGGTGGGCACGCCCATGGAGCTGATCAACACGCGGATGCAGGTGGACCGCGCGCTGCCCAAGGAAACCCGGTGGAACTACCGAAACCTCTTCCATGGACTGTACCGCGTGACCAGAGACGAGGGCTTCACGAAGCTGTACAGCGGATGCTTGCTGTCCTTTATGCGGTCCAGCTTGATTACCATCAGCCAAAATGCGGCTTACGATCAGGTATGGTCTTCAAATATGTAACTAATTCGAATATGAAAGCATGTCGTAAATATTTTGATGGTTGCCCATTCAATTCTGCAGGCCAAGCAGATGTACGCGGAATGCTTCCACATGAAGCACGACAACACGTTGCTGCACCTGATGAGTTCCGTGACGGCTGCCTTCATCTGCGGTCCGATCATCAAGCCCATTGAGAACCTGAGGTACCTCAGGATGGTGGATTCCGGAAGATTGATAAACTCCATTTCTTACATGATGCGCTTCGGAACGCGTGGACCTTTTCGCGGCATGATGCCCTACGTGTTGCGAACGGTGCCCAATACGGTCATTACTTTTTTAAGTTTCGAGCAGCTTCGAGTTCATTTTGGGTACATTGAAATTGAGGATGATAAATGACAGCGAGGAGCAATGTGTGTCAGCAAAAGTATTACATTTTGTACATGCATTATAATAATTAAAACAAAATAAAGAATTGTATACTTTTCTGGTAACAAGAAGCCTGCAAGTCGTAGTTATTCCAAATAGTAAGAAGATTTATACTGAATTAATGTTTATTTTGCTCCACCTAACTTTCACCCAAGTAATTCCATGCCAATCAGCTCCGAGTGCGTCTATTCAAACATTTGCTGTCCAACCCACTTACTCTAACCTGTGACCTCAATAACATCCTGTCCACTAATCAAATAGTTGGTTGCCTCCTGATTCCTGACTCCTGACTCCTGGCCTGGATTGTTGGTTATTTGTTAAGCAAACTCGACCAGTCAGGCTAAATAAACGCGCATGCACCTCATAAGGCATTCAATTTCGCATTGATTGCACACGGAGCTGCTCGCAAAAACAGGTCAACAGTGCGTATGAGTTATATTTAATAATACACACCGAGGCGAGCTTGCCACGACCAAAACACAAACTATGCAAATGATTTTAATGGCGAGCCAAATGTGCCAGCCGAGCTACTAATAACCTGACCCCTGACCCCTTGCCCCATGTCTTCAGACATCTGAGGCACAACTCATCGTCGATGCAATCGCCAGTCAGCCATAAACTTGCCTCAACTCATTTATGCAAAACGTGGGTGCCCCGTCTGAGTGTTAGTTTGGGCCAAAAGACTAGTCATGACTAAACACTCGCAAAAACTTCGAGCTGCAGTTTATGAGGCTAAAAAGAAGATTTCTGCAGACAATCATGGTCGTTTAATTTATTTGTAGAGGCTAATAACCTCATATAATCATAGTGAGGTATTTTTAAAACACTCGTTTTCAGAGTTGAATATTTTTGTACCGTGCCAATACGATTTAGGTAAGAAGCACTTCTATAGAGCTCTTATTCAGTTTAATTGCGTGGCATTACTCTTATTTTGGCGCGTTGCCGTCGTCCTAAAATTGCCTACTTACAAATTCAATTTCCACAATGATTGCAATCACGATTAAAGGGTAGCCGAGAGTGGGTGCGTGTGGAGTAATAGCCGGAGTGTCCTCCATATGCTCGCCAGCCCTCCACAACAATGCCGTTCATACGTGCAACATTTACCCACGTTTACGTGACGCGACACCCACACAACCCATCTGTGGCGCTGGAGGCATGTGTGGAGCCGGATGGGATGGTGGACTCCGCCAATGCTTTCCGGGCATTGTTGCTCATACGCCTAGTTGTCATCGTGGCGGCATCTAAACTAGAACTACACACACAGCACGTACTGGCATTTAGCCCCATCTTCGGTGGCGCAACTGCGTCCTCCTTGTCAAGGAGTTGGACAAATTAATGTTCATTAGTCACGTTGCGAGTTGTAATCAATTTATAATGCGACCAGTTGTGGTTGATGTTTCGTTTGGCGGAAGAAAAGTGTTCTTGGGTTCAATGATCCGGTGTTACTGCGTTTCGCTTTAGTTCTTGATTGCTTAAATTCTTGTTTACTTACAAAGGACTTCTTACTCGAAGTTTGCTAGAAATGAACTTAAAACTCGCAAAAAAAAGCGTGTGAATTAAAATGGAAATCTTTATCGTACAAAAACGTTGGCAAAAGTTCACAAGGTATTTTTGTCAAATTCCGAATGCACATTACTATCGTCGCAATCCTACTTTTCCCCTCCCAGGGAGCAAATCCCGAAGTGGAGCCTCAGTTGCTCGTACAAAATAAATAGCAAAGTGGTGGCTGGCGCTTTTCGCACTATAGTCGGCACGAATCCCCGGTAGGGTCCCATGATGCCGAACCGCATCATGTGAACGGACGCCTGGAAGACAGTGCGAAATTCGCCGGGTCTGGAGTTCATCATGATGGTCCTCACCACGTCCAGGGGATGAGTGATCGCAGACGAAATGATCGACGTGAACAACGACGTGAGGAAATGCAGGGGCACGCCGTCGTTCACAGAGGTATTTTTCCTCACTTCCGTTTTAGTCTTAAAATGTAAAAAAAACAATTAAAATAAGAACATACCAATGGATAATTGGCAGTTTGTCACGTTCTACCATTCCGAAAACTGGGCTAAGTGCGGTCAGGTCGTTTGGCAACTCACAATATCGTACAGTGCTATCTGGCTACAGGTGCTTAGGGATGATTTCAAGGCCGCTACCGATCCGCCCTTGTAAAGTGCCTTCCAGCCCTCCTCCTTGGGAATTCGAATGAGGCCATCGATGACGTGCTTATAGCTGAGATCGAGGCGATGGGAACCCTGAGATTGATGGCGAATATTCGCGAGGTGGGTAAAAATACTTGCGTCGCTTGTGCGGCGGCACCTTCATATCGGTTTGCATCCGCACGTTAATCAGATCCGTTGGTATGCCACAAGCAGAGCCACAAGCACCAGCCACACAGCCCAAAATAATCTTTCCTAGATATGAATCCCTATCGACGTACTCCATTTTCTTGCCAGTTTCATACACTATGAAATGTATATTGGTGCTGGTCATTTGTCGCAGGATGGCAGCCGAGAAGCCATCGTAAAAGCCCCAGAGTCCTTAAATCGGGATTACTAATGACTGCGTTAAGTATATGATATAACCCACCAGGCTCTTACTTTTCAGTGAGTATATTCTTTTGACCGTGCCTAAAATGCTCCGTTTTTTCCGTTGAATCTGCATGTGCGTCTTCACGATATCAATGGGCGCCACCGCGAAGGCGACGCAAATCGAGGCGAAGCCACCGAACCACCAACGCGGCAAGCGTCCTTCGGGGACATCATGGCAGTCGTCAAGGAAGTGGTCATCATAAACCGGCATTCCTCCAGATGATCGACGCACTTCCTGTCACAGTGCATTCGGATTCTGGATAGTTCTAGATTGGTCTTAATTTATAAAAACTGGTTTTGATACGAAGGGAAAGGCTTATGTGTTTCACTGACAATTTGAACATTGTGCTACTGTAGCTATCGTTGCAAACTATAAATACAGATCGGGCCTAGGAAGGAATCCGATTTATTGATCGCCGAGGGCGACAGCATCGTAGTGACGAAGCACTCTCATTTTCATCATCTGAGACATACGAAAAATGAAAGTCAGATGCTGGACTAACGACTTTTGAAGCGATATGTTAAATGATTAGCCAGGATTCACTGGGTCAACATTTAATTTGTTACAGCTTAAAAGTGCACCATGTTTATTCCGTTTTGCTACCCTAATAGTGAGACTTTAAATGTTGCAAAGTAATTTCCTTCGTATTCAGAGCGCCAATCAGGAAACTCATTGTGTGTGTCGGCAGGAGGAAGCCAGCTTCAATATCTGCTGCTCGCTGATAGGAAGCATCGACTCCGCACTCAACTTTTACCTTCAATGAATTCTACCAGCGACCGCCCACCGGACACCGCCCATCCAAGGACAGTGGCAGCTTATAAATCTAAACAAGCTCAGTTGCCAGTTGCCCAGTTGCATAAGTTTGCAGTTTACAGCTACGATTCCGGCACACTCGATCCCGGCAAGGTGGAGACCCCGATGCGACCCGCTGCATTCCAGTGGGTCTCCAACGGCACTCCACCAGCGAAACTTTTTCCTCCACGCGGTTTGGCCGTGCGCACTCTTTTTTCGCCTCCGCCCCGAGCACGTGCCTTCGTCCTTTTTGCACACCTGCCCAATCACCGGTGGGTGCTGCACCACCCACCGCCACACTTGCACCACCCACCACCACATTTGCACCACCCGCAGAGCTCTCGAAATGGTTGCTCCGCTCGCTGTGCCGATGACATAATAAACGAGGTTACCAGCAGCGAACTTGCTCCTCTACTTTGTCCTGGCCCAAGTTCTCACTTCCTCATCGATTGCACACTCTTCCAGGGGGTCCTTTGGTTTTTCTGCCAGCTGCAATCTGGAAAAGATCTGACTTTTATTAATATTTCTTCTAAGATATGCTTTATATAAACATTTTTTGTGGTAGGAAGAATTAGATTGGCTGGAATGATGTTGGTTTCTCAATTTCTTATATACACAAGATACAAATCCTGAACAATAACATATGAATGTATTTTTAGTTGCTCTTCATATAAAAGAATTCTTTACTCTGCACTCAGGTGCTTCGATTTCTATTCTGTCTATTTCTGGAGTCTTTCTTAACCTAATATGCATTAATTTAGGCATATTTTACTTACGCTCCTTATCTAAAGTTGGGAATGTAATGCAAACCATAGAGTGTTTCGGCTTTCGGGCCGCAGGAATATGAGTTATGCCACCTCCTTGCTCGGGCTCTCCAGCTAATGTCGGACATTTGTCGCTGTCCTTGCAACCCATCCTATTTTGCATACTCGACACGCTCCGTCGGACCTTTGCGGGTGGACCTCCTCCATTTTGGCAATTTTGGGCACCATGCCGACTCCTCTCCACTTCGTGTGCATTGACAAGTTTTTGTCACGTTTTCGGTGGCGGTGGAAATTCGAGAAACTTTTTCGCAACACGCACTTATCAAAAGTGGCTTCGACTTTTGTGCCAAAAGAGTAAATGAGGCGTCTTCAGCAGCTGGCCGGGTGAAGGGTCATGCACCTGACCAGTGCAGGCCCAACCAACTTTTCTAATTAAATTCTACGAAAATAAAACCACAACACACACTCGTCCGGCAGAGGAAGCTGAAGAGCAGTTGGCAAGTTGACACTCGCTTATCATTTCCGTTTCCGGCAGGCAGAGCGGCACAACCGTGCGACGTACGCTGTTTGTTCTAGTACAGGGTATTTGGGGTATTTATGATTAATTATAAATTTACGAGCTTATAAAAAGTATGTGGGATCCAAAAATTAATTTAAAAAAGGCAAACACAAGAAGTCTGCCCATAAAAATGGCAAAAAGAAATGCTACTAAAGGGTTACTTTCAGGCTGCCCCTTTTTTGTCCCAACTGCAGCGCTGCAGGACTTTTGTATAAGGGGAGGGGAGCGCCACAAGGAGGCGGCGAAATGAGGGAACATTTTAATTGTCAACGCGCAGAGTGTTTAAGTGGCCGGAGAATGCGATTGCAGCTGGGCAATCATTAATTGGCATTACCAGCGGGTGGCAAACTCTTTCTCGCACTTCCGCCCACTCACACACGCCCTGATGGATTATGCTTAATTGCAATTCATTTGATATTGACACTTTGGAGTGGCTCTCGTCCGGTTTTCTGCTCCTGCCTACTCGAAGACGCGCCTGGCCATGCCAAATTGTCATTGATTAATGTCAACACGCCTGGGCGCAGTGGGAGTGGGTCGGAGTGGGTGGCAGTGGGTGGTGGTGCTGCACACCAAGAGTTGTATATTTGAGTGCAAAGCAATTAATTTCCCGGATGCACTCGAACGGAAACTGAAGAGCCGCCACACATACGATTACAGGGAGTGTGTATTCAACCTCAAGGTTTCGGGCAACTCCAAACGAGTGGTGGATGGTTCCTCGTAATCGCTGCTTGGCATGCCAGCTGCATATAATCCGGCGCATTATGATCCTATGGCGTGCCCGAGCTGTTTGGCTAGTTAGACGATACCCCTTAGCCATGGTCTATATAATATATAATAAAAGATGTTTTGGGCACTGGCCGATTCCACTTGACAACAACCAGCCAACTGATAGGAGGAGGAGCCAACAACTATCAGCTTTTAGTTGTTAATGCTATTTTTAAATTTATTGTTGTAGCGTTTTGATAAAGCACTTTGGTTTCGATTTGAGCGTTGACCACTTGTGATTTATTCGTATACGAAATATGCTCAAGCAAATTATCTAAGTTCCATTGATAGAACATTCAAATAACTCATTCGCAGACTACCATCTAAAGCTCTTGTTGACTTACAGCTGTTTGTTGGTTTTAAATGTGATTTTAAAGCACGGCGACTTTCAATGCGAACACACTTGGACAGGCAGCAATTAAATCAGCCAGCTAGATCGCGTTACCTTGGTGCAAGTGGCGGCTGGAGAGTTCATTGTCCCAGCGCCAGCTGCCAACAACAGTTGGCTGTTATTCTTACCACTTAAGTGGGCCCCCGGGCGGCAGGGCTCCGCTGCATTCGAAATGTCAGTCAACCTGCGATTCGCTGCTTTTGCCCGCTTTTCCTTCGCTTTTCCTTTGCACAGTGCTTTCTAGCAGTGCGCTTTCCCATCGCATGGCATTTTCCTCGTGGCGCTGCAACGCGGCCGGATGATGAGTTTTTAATACTGCTTTGTTTTTGTCCGCCTGTCATGTTTAGGGGACTGGCACGCAGCTTTCCCGGCTGTCAGCCTGTCGGCCCAATTTCGAAACTTGCTTTCCCGGTTTACCCGATTCCCATCCGATACCCGTGCCAAACTGTTGCCAATGCGTACGAGCGTGGGAGCTTATGTTGACGCGCATGTTTCTGCCTCTTGCCCTCTTGCCCGTTTCCGTTTCCGGTGCGGGGTGCGGGGTGCTGGGTGCTGGGTGGGCAAAGAAATGGGCCAGAAATCTGGGTGGCAGAAATCAATTTCTCTGCGGACTCCGCACTTGGGAGTCCGCAGTCCAACCAACTGTGCCCCAACTCCCAAATGAACTCAAGTCGAGCGAACCGAGTCCTAATTCGTCTGATCAAGTATGCAGCAAGCAGTTTGCGCTGCAGGAAAACTTTTACATCGAGTTAATTTACATTGTAATTTCCAATTGATGTCCTTAGCAGGGAAGCGAGTCAAAAAAAAAAAACTGATTTAAGAGGCAGAAATCCGGGAAAATCCCGAGGATTCGGCCAATACAAATACATAAAAGTTGCAATTTGCATTAATTATGCAAAATAATGCGCAGTTGACCCATCCAGGCAGCCTGATGCCCCCACCAATATTTATAAATTTTATGCGTCGTTAAATGTTTGGTCGGAATGGCTTTCCTCAACCCTTGAGGGCTTTGTTCCGCTCTTTTGTGACCGTTCAACTGGAAATTATGCAAAACGTCAAGTCTGAAACTTTCTCCGATGCTTGTTGATAATAAAATTGCGGGCCAAAACGTTTTTTCGCATTGTCCTTTGATTGGCTTTATGACTATTCGTAGACTTTCATTTTAAGTATTTAACTTATCCGATCGTCTTACGAGCTCTATTTATTGACCTACAATGAATGGAGATCGCTGCCAAAGATGGTCTATAGACTATAAATGTGCTCTATATTCCCTAAACTTACTAGAAAATCATCTTTAATGTAATATGCACAATAAGGTGGCTACTTTATAATTATATGTTCTTAGTACTACATCAAAAGCAATGGAGACCGACATAGTTCAGCTGCTCGACTATCAGATACCTGTTAGACAGCTTCTACCTTTTTTCTGCTTGATCAAAAGTGTGCAAATGTAATTTAATTTTTATTCATGTTTATTAATTGCTTTTATTAATTTCTATTATTGCATATTGAGGGCTTAAGTGTCTCTGATTATTCTTGAACTTTCCTTGATAAGTATTTCTTTAAATCGTTGAAATACTTGCCTTCTTTCAATATTATAACAATGTCATTTTGCAAATCCGGATGGTTTGTTGTGCTGAGTCGCTGATTAAAGTAATTTCCTGCGCGAACTTGTGATTTTGTCCATCCTCAGGGTGCTCCACGCCCACCCATGTGCCCATCATCTGGGTGTTCCATATCCACCAAAGCGGCAAACGAAAGCGAGTTGCAAACGTGGCATTCCACGGAAATACAGAATCAAGAACAGGGACAGCAGCTGATGGTTTTTCCCCACCTTTCATGCCACTTTTCTTTTGCATTCGCCCGAAACAAGATGAAGTATGAAATATGATGTAAAATGATGTGATTACAGTTGAAAATTCACAAAAAATAATAAAAGAACCCAGGCGGATGGAGCTTCCAAAGGGGGAGGGCCAAGACACATGGCGTTGTGTCGGTAACCAAAGGGAAAAACGGCGAGAAGGGCCAAAGGGGTAAGGAATGTGGCTGCCAGTAGCAACAAGA